AAGGTTGAATTTAGCTTATAAATTATAAGCTATAGAATTTGCAGTTAGAAGAGCTGTCATACATCATAACTTTCACTTCACTTGCGCGCCGTTGTTAATCAAATTTCAAGTTTCTGTTTTCGATGGTTACTGGAGAATCTGATTACATCGAATTTCATCGTTTCATTTCGTGAATTCTAAGAAAATCTAGCCTACATTGTTATATAATTTCTTTCTTCTTTATTTCGGTGAAATAACATGCCAGCAAAAAGAAATTCATCGAATAAAGTAATTAATACCAGATCCAAACGAGCTAAAATAGATAGTGGATCTTGTGATGCTACGACAGCACCACTGACGCCAACACCAACCGCCCTAGTAGATACATCTTAAATTCAAGCGGAAGAAATACAGAAGGAGTTGTTACGTCTTGCTTTAAAGCAGTTAGGCATTGATGCACCGCCAAGCTCTTCTCTCATTACCTTGAATGAATTTTATGAATTTAACAAACATAAACAAGAATCGACGACATCAATGATGCCTGTCAATATACCATCGAGTTCAACAACAGACGAAGCTGCTCATAAAGAGATAGAAGATGCTTTGCGTGAGTTGACTACAGTTGGTACTGTTGATGCTATATCAAATACTTCTTCCAAATTGCTAATGCAGAAACCAATACCTATGTAAGAAGTAAAGCAAGATGCTGTCTATATCTCACCTCAGTTGAGTACTAGAATTCTGAGCGGCGCGTATGTAAATCTTGCGCTACTCTTGGTGCCGTGGGATCGTGGAAAATCACCAGATTTAGACTCGAATCAGCAGACAGTCTCTTTAGTGAAAAGCCACTATGATCCTCGATTGAGCCGTAATTTGAACCTTCCCGAGTTTCTGAAAGTGTTTCACCGTGTTTGCCTATCCAACGGAATCAAAAGATTCAGTTTATCGTTAAAGCAGCCGAGATATCTAAATTTTAAAGAGTGACGGATCTCTCTGTTTCTGACGCTTAGAAAAGCGTCTGAGGCAGTTTCTGATGCAAGAGAGAATACTGTAGTTGCAGAACATAATGGAACTGGTTGAAAAAAATCCAACGAGTCGCCTGTTCAGTTTTTCTACCAACGGAAACCGGCGATAGTGCGGATGATTGATAAAACCGGCCGATTTAAGTATTATCAACCGACATGGAATCAGTGTGTTTTATAATGTGTCATAATATATGGATCCGGTAGTCATTCATTCATAGTAGTTCACCTCTGTTCTGTTAAATAGACTTTCTAGTTTTCAATGTATTACGCGCTGCTCACCTGAGCAACGTGTAATACATTGAAAACTGGAAAGTAACGTAACATTTTAGAACAGTGATAAATATAAGTAAAACTTTACCAGAACTAGCCCACTCGTCCAAAACCAGACTACTCTTCGATGTGATGGAACGATTATGCACGAACATAAAAACCAGCGCTCATATTGAGAAAAGCTAGTTACAATTGCTGTGACAAGTTTTACTTTGCAATAAGAGAAGAAAACTGATAAATAATCGCTGAAAGTAATTTTGAAATTGCCTAGTTTAATAGTTATTCCATCCGTTTTTTCTTGCAGAACTGAAAGATAAAACTATTACAATTGCAATTTCTCATTGCAGAGTGCTCTTTGTTGCCCATCTAACCAAGCTAGAATCAACAAAAAAGAAGAAAATCTGTGAGAACAGCAGTGGAAATTATGGGCCAATTCTTTTGCAAACAGCTGTTGTTATATATAGCCACAATTATTGCACACAGCGCTCCAGGGCTCGGTAACTCCAACTCCAAAGTTGAGAATTTTTTTGGTAGAGTTGGAGTTGACCTTGGCGGAGTTGGAGATGGAGTAGAGTTTTTGAATTTTTATTCTCAATTCCGTTTTGCAGTTTTGGAAATATTCAATAGTTTGAAACTGATCTTCTAAGCGATTGAGTGGCTGTATTCACGAGTGAACTCGGAAGTTCTTTGTGCTTTCCTACCGGAAAAAGCTCAAAAACGTCCAAAATCCTGCTAAAAACCAAAAAATCTTTCTTACAAAAGTGTAGCAACCGGAGTTGAACTGGAGTTGAGATTTTTGTTGAGAGAGTTGGAGTTGAAAAATTTTGAGTGCAGTTGGGGTAGGAAATTTGAAAACGGAGTTGAGTTGGAGTTGAAAGTCAGTGGAGTTGCCCAGCCCTGCAGTGCTCATTTTCGAGGAGACTGAAGGTTTCTTCGAGTATACTATATATTTTGAACTTTAGAAGAGTAAGTAAATATGGAATATATCATAAATAGGAAAGAGGAGAGATATACAGAACTTGAGAAGATACATTGATCTGATGTTATATCGTAATAGAGTTGACAAACACATATCTGACTTCTAAACCTAGGAAATTGGTCAAAATTTGTTTAGCAATTGTCTTACTGAGGGGCCACTACAATCTCAAAAGTATGAATTTTAAGAGTTTACTCGTGGAATCCCCGTCCGAAAACTATGAAAAAATTCCATTCATCAACCCGCAGTCTTGAAACTATGCATCGTGCTCTTCTTGCGTTCTTTTCTTTGTTGCAGAAAGACATTTATACTGATACCATATCATTTATAGAAACAATCACTAACTGTTTTCTAAACTGTCTCTGCAAATCTTTTACTTAAAAGTCGAAGTTTTCTGGTAGTGATTGGTATGAGACAAAATATTTGGCTATATCCTTTCAGCAGAAGAACTTCATAGGTTTGCAAAATGACTAGATGCAGCTATTCTTACTAGTCTAGCATCAAGTAGATAATTTTAATTCGACTCAACAAAACAGTTCCATTTTATTACATTAACAAATTCACACTAGCTTAAAATGTTGAAGATAAGTAAATAAAAAGTGTCGTAAAATAAAAACGAGCACAATGAGTGGATGTCTTAAAATGAGTGTTCTGATAGTAAATAGAAAGTGGTCCTTTGTGTTTTCGAAGAAAGTTGTTGAATCATAGATAATTCTCGCCACGTTTATAAGCAATAAGGTTGCCTATTTATGCCTCTTCCATAATATCGACATGCGCTTGGACATACTCCAATAGTTCTCTACTCATTATTGACGACACATTGTCTTATTGATGAGCCACTACACTCATAAAATGCCCATCGAACACATCGACCTGTCGATGGCTGACACACAGTGAGCAACCATCCGGAAAAATCAGCTAAAATCGATCTTGGAATTTTAGCCTGAATACCAGGTTTTACTAAAGCTTGTCCTTAATGAAACCTAGTGGCGGTCTTTATTTGGATTGAAAACTCGGTCTAGCTTTCCAGTGCCACCACGATTCTTACACTCATATGTGTTTCAAGAGATAAAACATTCAAATGATGAGCGTAT